TAAGTCAATAAAAATATTTTTATTTTTCAAAATAATTTATGAGTATGAGAAAAATTTTGTTGTAATAATAAACTTCATACACCTATTAAATATAAAGCGGCGAGTATGTCAATTTCTTAGTAGCTGTATAGTTATTCACCGAGTTTCATTAACAATGACAATCAACAACAATATAACATTACTTTTCTCAATTCCCAGAAATATAACACTTTGACCTACATGTCCCATAATTTTCAAATTGCAACGGATATCTTGACTCTTCTCTAAGTTATAAAATATTTTGTTTTAAACATGATCATTGCTCTCAACAAAGTTGTGAGAATTACTCGGAGTTGTAAATGAAACTTTGAAATTTTCACATAATACAAAAGTGATAATGCTTAATTTTTGTATAAACCAAAAAACATATAGGTATGGCGGTTTCTGGTGGATAAATGGATGCTTCTTTTCCTCAGTTTCAATTTTTCACATGAAGGGTCTGTAAATTGTCAAAATTGAAGTAGGCGCTACTTTACAGGGATGGTTTTTTATTAATATTGTGACCGATGAAAGTTATTTCGATTTTGTAGATGATTCATTATGTCTGAAGTCTATTGTATTGTTATTCATAATCAATTATGATTGCAGTCAGGATTTTTGAGTGTTCGCAAATTAACCACGAGTGGCGCTGGCATCTGGAGAAAGTTATCGATCGAGGTCAGATCTGGTTTGGTTATAGACTATTTTCATTTGAAAAAAAATACTGTTAAAAATACTCATTTCATTGTTTGAAATTTGTGAGGCACATTTCAATTATTGACTTCTAAAAGTGAAAAACAACAATCAACATTTACGTTTTAATCACTCGGTACATCTAAGAGAGAGCTATAGAAACGTTAGTCGAAGTCCAAATCCGGCAATTGATTATTTTACATTTCGATATTGTTTATTGTAAAGTACAAATAATTTTCACAACTGATAACTTTTATATCGAAATTATAAATAATTTTTGCCTGTTATTACCAGATATCGGTGTTGAAATATGGAATATGAAATAAAATGTATTTACAGAATTATTTACAGAATAAAGTGATGACGAATTTCATTAATACTTCATTGTTCGAAGTGATAGCCTCAAATTGAAAACGCATGTCTATAGAATTATTGATCTTATTGTTGATGAGAAATCATCTCATTTTCAATCTATTCTATCTATCTATACTAACATAAATATGAAAATTTTGTGAGGATGAATGTACCTATGTATGTTGTGGCTGCGGATTTAGATGAAATTTTACATATATACAACTTATATATCAGAATAACATATAGGCTACCATTCACAAAGGTTTTGTGTAATAATACGAAAAGTATTAAGTGAGTTGGAAAATTCTTGCTCCTTGAGAGCTATCTTGGCGTGCGCTGCTTAAACCGTTGCAGTTACATGAAGATAATGTACCTTAAGATTGTTTGAATAGTTCTGTAAAATTGTATATCGAACTGCTCAAACCTTTGCAAAAATGCTTTTTCATATTAAAACTGACAGACTTTTCCTCTAGACAAATTTAATTTTGAACAACTGTTTTTATTTACATACCATTTCTTTAACTATAAATCGGGTACAGGTATTAACAAGTATTAAAAAACGAATAAATGAAATGAACAAAGAAATATCTTCTACATTCTCCACTCCGTGAAGCTCTGTACTCTTCACTCTTCATTGGTAGAAGTTTGTAGGACACACATCTTTAATACAGGTCTGGTATACAATCCATTTTTGGTTTTTACTCTGGTTATACGTATTGTTCCATCTTCACGGGAAATGTTTCTTCCACTCGTCCCAATAACCAATTATTTCGGGGTGGCTTGTCAATAACTATTTTTGCAATATCAACAGCATTGATCAGAATAGTTTTTTTTTTTCATGCCATTGAATGAGTGTAGGTCGATATTCTTTTACCCACCGTTTCCAATATAAATCAGCTAGGGCTTGTGAAAATCTCCATATCTCCATTGTTTGCTTCTTTTTATTGGGTAACCTTCATAAGACTGCACACCCCCAGGTCGCAGAAACAAGAAACGATAAGGTGTAATTGCCTCTGATATATGAGTTAGAAGCCTAGAGTTCACCATGGATTGAAAAACAAATAAATAACATTAACAAAGGAATAACTTCTTCAAGTTCTAAATAAAAGTTCGCGATAGCACATATGTGGTATGCAAAATACTGAGCCATAAATTCAATTAAGTAGGATCCTTTTTTACAATGTACATTTTAGTATATCTGTCAAATTCTTTAGAAATTGATACAATTGTCGTTTTAAGTATTTAATATGGATACACTTTCTTTTTACACTAAGTAATTTCGACAGTGGGGCAGTATAAGCAATGAAGCGCCACCGCCGATAGCGTGACCTTAACGCATGCAGACCCGAGAGGGCAAACCTCGTTGACAGTTTCGTTAGTTTTGTAAATTTCTTTATATGTTATAATTCGATTCTCGAAGCTATTCATTACTTAGTGCAGTTGGCATATATTCAAGTTACTATATTATTTAAGTCAAAATATAAATTACTAGCTATTGCCCGCTCTTATATTAAAGTACAGTCGAAGCTACTGAACCTATAATCTTGAAATATACAGGTAGGTTCTTTGTATAGCGTAAATAAACATCAAGAAAGGGAATCAGGAATTTCCATCTCCAAGGGGGAAAATAGGTTCAAAGATTGTATTGAATTTCGTCAGTTATGAAGTTGGAAACCTGAAGTTTTGGGTTAATAAAAAATATTGTAACTATTTGTTTGAAATGGTCTGTCACGAAACTTGTGACAAACCAAATTCTACGCGGGCGAAGTCGCGGGCAACAACTAGTATTCAAAATGATTCTCGTTTCCCAAAATGAAAAAACTCCCTCTAAACGAAGCGACTCTAAATTGATCGCATCTCACCCACGTACCTAATTGGATACGTTCACAAAAACGGCTAGTATTTTAAGCTGGGAAAATGGAACGCATAGAAAGTTGCATGGGCGGAGAAACAGGCTGCTCGCCGTAATACATTTTCCGCGAATATCCTGCAATCAGACTTCTTGGAACCGACACAAACGTGTGCAGGCTCCGTCGCACATGAAGGACGGACAAAGAGAGAACCAGCGGTTCGTCGAGGCACACCTGCATCTCGACTCGGTCTCTGCATAATACCGGGAAATTCGAAATTTGAGGGGCAGGTATAAAATGTGTCTGAAAGCGAGGCATCGTGATGTAGCAGTGGCGTTCTAGTCGTGTAAGTGGAGGGGTTGTTAGTTCGTAATCTTCAAGGACAACGTAATTTCGTTGGGTGTAAGAGAAATTAGAGTAGAATAGTGGGAACTTTCAAAACTATAAGAGAAGAGTCACATGACGCTGAAAAATCTGAACCTAAGATATACTTCTGAATATGTAAGTGCAGGATAGAAAGAAAAAATCATTTTTCCTTGGATAGATTTCCAAAAAGTATTTGCACTTTGATATCCTAGTGGGTTATAAAAATGTACCAAAGAAAGTTCTCTACAGGGTGTTATAGTTTTTGTTCACTACAAATTTCAGATGAATTGAAAGGGTTATATTTTTAGGATTGATTAATTTTTGGGAAAGGAAGTTTTTGGCTTTCCACTACTCCATCTGATACAAAAAAATGGATGAGAGAATCTTCCAAAGAAAGGAAGGAAGTAATCAATTTGAAAATAAGTAACGTTATACATGGATGTGTAGATCATGCAAAGAAGTAACTTTCAGACACAAACTGAAAGAAAGTCCTCCTGAAACAGCTACTTTCATATAAACATTGAATTTTTTGGTTTATATGCTGTATGATTGAGTAGAAAGGGTTGAGATTTTTAGATAATATAAAACTGTAGCATGTATATGTAATACAGAATACTTGATCCAACACTCGTTTCCATTTTCAGTTTTATTGGTTTATTAACACTAGGAAAAATATGCATGTCTTTCCATTTGATAAGAGTTCATAAAAATTAAGCCATGACCTATTTTGATCGCGAAGTGAAAATTGTTCAATTTGAATGACTTTCCATGACCATTAGAGATATTTTTCCCATTCTTCATTATTGATATCAATTCATATATTTATAATGATCCCTAATGGTTATATTTTTTACTGGTTGAAACTATTTATAATGTTTTGTTTATTCGTTGGTGGTACCGAAATAAAATTCAAATGAGGTCAGATGTTTTGTTCCGTACGAGTCATGATGATTACACCACAAAAAATACTGTCATTGGTTTATCTGCTTTATCAACATATAAAGTTTATCGCGAATCGGTCTATCGAAACAATGGGTGAGCAGCGTCGAATAACAATTTATAATCTTCAGTGTTCTGGGAAATATGCGTGAGGCGGCAATTCATCAACTTTTAGAAATATATCGAAATGTTTTGCAACACAAAGTTGTTAATAAACAAATATCAAGAACTATTATTATTATAATGTGATATATTGCTGATATTTTGTTGATATACATTCGAAATAAATTCGTATAAATATTCATGGAAATGCAAACGCATTTGTATACTTCATAAAAAGACTCTATAGTCTAGCCAGGAGAAAAATGTATCACTTGAACCAAGTTGTCAATACTATGTTTACATAACTAGTGACTTTGTTATACATTAAGAAATTGTGATGGCTCCCTTTTAAAAAAATCCATCTATGGGATAGTCAACTATAATTAATTGATTATTTGAATGGTTTGAATATTGGTAACCTTAAAAAAGAAACATAGATTTCAGAAATTATGAGAAAGAATATGAGAAAACGTATTCGTTGGAACAGATTAAGTAAATTTCATGTATCTTACAATATTTAATTGAAGCGGTTTCCTTTTTAACTTATGCTTCATATGAATTTCTTCGTGAATTTGTTCAACAGTGCAAATATACATTTTATAGATTATATATCATCGTGCATTGCATTATTATTAGTGACTTCATATCACATTCAATTATTTCAATTTTTATTTCCAGGTTGACTTCGATTCTTGGGCATGGCATTTGCCTGCAATGTTAGGCTGTAGCGCGGTATGTCCCAATTGCAAGCACGAGTTCCAGTGCTGCGCTCCAACTCAACCATGCTGTGCTGTGAAGAGATCTCTGCATGTGTTGAGCGGAGGCGGCCTAGTAACCGCTCTGGCGCCTACCCAGAGCCCCTGTCCGTCACCGCAGGTTTCACCAAGCATGCCGCTGGCGTTCATCCTTCCACCATTCGCTGCCCCCCTGCAGCTAACTCCAGCACCATCAGATGCCAAACCCGAAACCGAGCTGCAAAGATTATCGGATACCGTTCGGGCTCTGCGCCAATCCGGCTGGTACTATGAGGGTATCTCGTACCAACAAAGTCATGAACTGTTGAAAGGATCAACACCTGGAACTTTTTTAGTGCGAAATTCCTCCGATCCCAAATTTTTGTTTTCTCTGAGTGTACAGACAGAACGAGGACCCACTTCAGTCCGTTTGTTTTATATTAACGGTTATTTTAGACTAGATGCGCAGCCCCATTTACAGTCGGCCATGCCGATGTTTCCCAGCGTCATAGATCTGATTCAACATTATGTCGAACAGATTCGGTTGTACAGAAATAATGCCCAAGTTTGGGTAGATCAACAAGGCAAATGGTATTCATCTATTTTGTTGGTTAAACCTCTCAGAAAAAAACCCGAACCATCTAGTCTCAAGCATCTGGCTAGATTGGCAGTTCATAAGGCGCTGCGTTCATCTACAATGCCTAGGTTGACAATGCTACCACCCCCTCATACTCAGTTAGACTTACCTTCTTCACTCACTGCATACTTGTCGGAGTATCCTTTCTCCCTCTGAGATGCGCCAAAGACTGGTTGGTACCTTTACATACCAACATCAGGGAACACCAATAAAGTATTCTAAAATGCACTCATGAGTGCCTAGTTAGTTAGGATATGAAATTACCAATATGGATTCTGTTTGTTAATCTTGGCACGAGTTATGAAATGAAACGAAAAAAATGTACTATCTGGAATTCACTCAACATTTTTGCCTTATACTTAAGCTTATTGCAGAATAATCATTGGAATATTGTTGAATATTTCAACTAAAAGGTACTTATGTGTTGGTTCAGTGAGTTTTGCTACAATGAGAACAATTTTTGGAAGTAAATGAATGTGAGTTAGTACTTTTAAGTTCCTTTAAATGTAATAATTTAGACTTCAACAAGCTAGAAATGTTTTTCATGTTGGTAGGGCTCACTAAATTTGCAAAATTCAGAACAGATAATATTGATTAAACAAACAGTTGTAAGATCGTCCTAGAATTGATTCCTAATTAAAATAAAGATTGAAATGCTTGCGTCTGTTATGGAATGAAGTATGTACTACTTAAAGATCTGGAAGAAACGCAGATATTTTTCCAAATAGCCTTGCTCATGTGTTCAAAGTGAATCTCATTTCAGACAGAGGAGAAATATTGTTAAATATCTGCATTTCAGACAATATATTATCTATGAGATACTTAAATTAAATGGTTATTTGCCAAAGATTTTTCTTGTATTCATAGGCCTTTATGAATGAAGTATAAGTGACTACTTTTACTTCTTTCAGGTTGAATAATGAAAAAGATAAATCTATAGTAAACTCTTATAACTGATCCTTTATATTGTTTTCAAAGTAAGTTTTCATAAATAGTTGATAGGTATATTTATTTATTTATACATTATTTTGTAAGTCAAATTATATATCCTATTAGTGATAATGACTTCATGTTAATTGAAAATAATCATGTCTTTGAATTACTAAAAAGACAATTCTGAAAGCCCTTCAATTCTGTAATGTAAATGAAATAATATCTATAAGATAAAATGTAAGCCATATTGGCTGATTTTATAATGGCAGCAAAATATTACTTTTCAGAGAAAATAATTTTTAACAAAATTATGAATATTACAATTTCTGATTATTTTTTACCAAATGATACTTCAACATGCAAATCTGCACCTAGTCTATCATAACATTTGTCTCCTATAGAAATCATATTATGTTATAGATATACAAAATATTTTTGATTGTTAATCACATTCACTAGTGTTTTTTCGGCAAATTCTTTGTGTCTCAATATTGATTATTCTTATAGTTAAACTCTGTTCATCAGATCACTTGATGAAAATATAGTGTTAGAATATAATACGGTTTTTGTCATACTACCATTTCAGTTATTTTGTCATGATTGGTTTGTAAGATAATTACATATACAATGTGTTCTTGCATGAATGGATACTCAAGTCTACTCATATCCATAAAATCAGCTTTAATTAACAGAAATTCCTAGAAATATGGGCTAATATCACAATAATCATATTCGAATATCCTTAGTATTGCCTTACTCCATTTTCTGTCTGAGCATTTTGTAACAGAAAAGTCTAGTCTGTAATAGATTGACTACAACTTGTAAATTTCATTAGAATAAATATGGAAAAATGTCTTTTAGTTGGATTAACAAACAGAATTTAAATAACAAATTGTAATTGTGAATGTATTTATATATTGTACACATGGTATGGATGTAATCGAGAGTGTGATTTAGTTAAAATGTATTTATTTCTCTAGAAAAAAATTAAATTATTTATTATCATATGTCCTAGTTTTATTTACTATTTTATTTGAAAACATATATTATTTCATAATCAAAACTTCGATGTTGCAACCAAAACAACTCCCTCTATCTTCAAAATTAGAAGAATATAAAATCGTCTTCATTTTCTCCTGCCTCGTAGATTTTTTACCTAATAATTGATTGGGATAATCTATTTGTTCATAGAAAAACTGTATTTTCGTTACTGATACAGAATTCAATACTTTCATAATCACGGGCATACCATTGCTTTTTTCATATTGACAAAAATTAAAGACCCAGTACACATTCATGCAACAGATAAAAAACACAATAAGTTCAAAAACCGACATTGGATGTCAGCATATAGGATTGCAGAAAATGAAATGTCACTAACCTCACAGCCCTCGTTGATATCTAAGAGGAAATAGTTACAGTTTCGATTTTTCTAATCCTGAGCTTTTAGTTAGATATTTGACTTTCTTTTTCGAAGAGACTGAAATGAAATTATTTACATTTTCTGATACGAGAGTAAATAATAGAAGGGATTTTTAATTTATAGTGATCCACTTCATTGAAATTGATTTTGATATGCTGCTATTGATGCCTTTTGTGTATATATTATATAGTCGAAAAAAACATCTTTTTCCAAGGCTGTAATTGAAACCAGCTGTATTTTCTGTTAATGACAGTTTTGTTTATCTACCATATTTTCATTTATTGTCTGATTACTGTAGATACTTTTTGAACACTGTTGATATGAACCAAATTTAGCAGTTTAAAAATAAGAATATTAGTAAAAGTAGACATGCAGATCCTGAAAAAATCTGCCAAGGTTTATAATGAGACTGGATAGGAAATTGGTAACATGAGAACAAGAAATTATTAGTATTTGTTAGAAATATAATGAAAGGTCAAGAGCAATTGAAAATGTAAGATCGCCCGCGGTACATCTTGACGTCACACTAGGCAAACGAGCTTCGAGCGGTAGCAACCGAGCCTGTAGTTGGAGATTATGAATCGTTGCTATCGTCAATTCAATTTAATTTTCTTCAAAGTAATGTATATATCAATTCTGAGTAACTGGCATTTTTGAGACAAAAGTTCTATAGTAAATAAAGAGTACCTTGTAATTCCAAGACATAATTTCGGATTTTGTTCTATGACGTAAATAGATCTTCGCTCAATATTGTTTTTCGAATTCCAGTTTTCAACTAATATTCCAGACAAAGTAGAATCTGATGATGTATCAACAGAAGTCACGTCGATTTAGGGGAGGGTCGGGTAAGTTGACGACGTTAACAGAAAATGAATAATTTCAGCTTGACATTTGAATTATTTTCAAAATTGTTTATTTATATACGATAATAAACATGTAACACACAAGAACATGAAATCGTATCCAAAAAACTCAAATGTTTAGTTTACAAAAATAAAAATATATGTACTTGAGAAATTCGTCATCTTACCCGAAGGTGGACTAAGATGACCCGCATTAGCGGGTAAGTTGAAGTATATTAGTATAAGTCGCATATAAATGCTTGTACACCGGAAAAATCGGTACAAGATTCATGCCAACATCTCAAGCATTGTGAGCACTGAATCCAGTCTTCTGTGGGTGGATCTTCGAAGCGTTCATCGCAAGCAGGACATAATATAATTCTTTCGTTTTTATTTTTGGTTTCGCATGTTTTTTTCTTTTTGTTTTTTGTTTCTTTCTGATTTTTAACATATTTTTGTTTTTTCACTCGTCTTGCATCTTCCTTCTACCTTTCATTTTCTAACTTCTCCTCCAACTGTATTTTCATAGGCGTGCTAGTGATAATACTGGCATCAGTCATTTTTCTACCTTTTCTGTAACTGGTCGTTCATATTTTGGAAAAGGCCGTATGTCCAAGAGTGACACAACTTTTTTTTCCTTCTCTTTGTCGGTTTCTGTGACGTAACTTTCAGTTGAGTTTCCAGATGAGGCGTGGTTCTGGATTCCACTTGGATCGGGAGTAGCGTCAAACATTTCGGATGAAGTTATGGTTTCGGTTTGGATTCGGCTTGAACTAGAATTTTTTTGAAAATTGTCTTCTTAACTTTGGATATGGCCAATGTTGCGGTTGTGCAGGAAAGTTCATTTTTATTTGGCGTTTTGTAAGTGCTCAAGACTACTTCTTTCTGTAGTGAAGAATAATTAACAACTGTGTTTACGAAATGTGCAAGAGGCAGCTCTTCATCCGCTGAATCATCTAATGATTCCATATCTAATTGTCGAATCTTTTAGTTTTTTCATCTGAATCATCTAGTGATTCACTAGCTGCTTGTCGGATTTGCCGATTTTTTTTTCATCCGAAACAGATCTCAAATTATTTTCTTGTAGGTAATTCTCCTTCTCTGTTGTTTTAGTTGCGGCATATTCTTCATCACCAAAAATGAAGGGATCGAATGATTCAATCCCGCACTTTCTGAAACCGTTAACCGCATTTCCAACCGTTGTAGCCTTCAGATATGAGTTATTAAAAATTCTACAAATATTTTTATCAGTGATTGTTTGACCAGTGTTACTGACAACAAAGGAATCGGAATCTCGAGAAAAATATGTTTTCAAGGCCCAAAAAAATACACATCTAAAGGCTGCAGTCGGTGTGTAGTGTGTGGCGGAAATCCCATTATTACTATTCCGTTTTCTCGACAATAGTTGATACCTTGCAATGAAATATGGGAAGAATGATTGTCAACCAATAGAAGCACGGGATTTTCAGGTGTGGGGTTTGTATGAGTTTTGAAGTGTTTCAGGTATTTCAGAAATATATCCGTACACATCCAACCGTTTTTGTGAGCACTTCCTCTGGACCCTGGTGGTGCCCCAAACAGCAAGTCGTCTTTCATTCGTATTCTTCCGAAAATAGAAAACGGAGGGACATAATGTCCAAGTGCGTTTGCGGCGCATACTACAGTTGTATTCTTGCCACGCTCTGCAGTCACTATTCTTGCAACACGACGAGCCCCGGTAGGACTTAAAATCTTCGGAAGTTTGGTAGGCACAGAAGATAAACCACTTTCGTCTGCGTTGTAGATACGACTCGCCTCAAAATTGTATTTATCTCGAACTTCTCGAAGGATGTGAAAAAATTTCTCAACAGCAATTTTGTTAAAACCCATAAGACGTCCTATCGATGTAGGCTCGGGAATTCTGAGACTTACTTTGAATTTCATCTGAAAAGACTTTATCCAGTCTTTGCCTGCCATTTTTGATGATTTATTAAATCGATGTGAAATGTTGTTCTGCTCTGCATAGTCAAATGCTAGTCTCCCGAGCTGAACTTTTGTAAGCCCGAAAGCTCTTCTGTCGATATCTGTTATATAGTTGGCAAGAGACTGACTTTGATCTGAACTGAAAGTATTGCGGCATCTTCCACCATGTTCTGGAAGAGCTGCTCCTTCTCGATGTTTCTTTATATAGCGTCTTAAAGTTGCCTCGGGGATATCGTAGCTTGACGCAGCACTATTGCAAGATTCACCACCATCTACTGCCTCCAACGCTGCAATCAAACTCACTTCGGTCCAGGACCGCCTTTCGGACCTCTTTGAATATTTTTGTGGCATTCTGTAAAATTAAATGAATTTACTGTGCGAAACTTTGTACATGGGTAAGATGACGACCTTGTGGGTGAGTGCAGGTAAGATGACAAAGTTCGTCATCTTACCCGCACCATCTTACCCGTTGAGGTTATGTTTGGAGCCGGAGAGCATATTTCCACGACAAACATGATATCGATAATAATTGTAGTGAGATGCTATGAAATACTTTCATTACTAGTAATTGAGCACAATCAAATGTCAACATACCTTCAACAATTGGTTAGGAAGCTTATTTAACACAATGGTTATGTTAGATCATCTAAGAGAACAATTCGTTCAGGCCAGTCTCAACACCCTACACAGTAGGTTAATGGACTGACACCTATCAGAAAACAACTACTCCCCTGGCTAATACCACGAAAGGCGTTGGATTATATCCGACAGGTGTCAGTGCAGGATTCTTCACAGAAGTTATTCCTGCATATGCTGTTGGCGATACAACTGCCGCAATATATTTTCNTATCGCCAACAGCATATGCAGGAATAACTTCAGTGAAGAATCCTGCACTGACACCTGTCGGATATAATCCAACGCCCTTCGTGGTATTAGCCAAGGGAGTAGTTGTCAGTCCATTAACCTACTGTGTAGGATGTAGAGACTGGCCTGAACGAATTGTTCTCTTAGATGATTTGATTTATAGCCAGTCTTCGAGTATGCCCACTGACTATACCTGAAAGGTTATGTTAGAGCAGATATGCGAGGTACACTCATTTCCACTGTAGCTGCAAACTGTTCCGTAAGGTTACGTTTCAACTTAATTCCCCTAATGTTGGCGAGATGGCGGCAACCTACAGAAAACCTACATTGTTACGTTAAAAGAAATTACTACCCGTTCGTCATCTTACCCACTTCGTCAACTTACCCGACATTCCCCTACTCAAACTTTCACTGTCCTCGGGGTAACTTGGTAGTAATTTTTTCCAATACTTTCTCTATTTTCTATTTCTTTAGAACGATTTCTTTTTCGGTGGTATATAATATATATTTACGGTCTGTTTAGCTTTTGATCTTCGAAAAACCTGTTTATTAACTTGAATTCCAACATCAAAATTTTCCTGTGTACCTGCGTAATCAGACATGATTTGATTTTCAGCGATATCTTCGTTACAAGTATTCAACAAAATTTGTTTTTCCTTTTTTTGAACAAACGGTGGAGCTTTAGATGTATGGGCCGTCGCTCTATCAATCTGGCAATCAAATATATACGAAATTACGCCTGGTTTCAATGTAATTTTCCTACTTTCATAGTTTTGATATACATGTATTTTCTAAGTCTGTTTCAACTTAAAATTCAAAGTACTGCTCAGAGTAAACTCATTCATATTTACATTAAAATGATTTTCGCAACAAAAATGCGCACCCTTGGCAGATACAAAGTCGGCCCTCTGCATA